GAGGCGCCGATGGAGGGATAAAATGCCACTGTATATGTTGTTCAAGAAGAAAGGGTGCGATCTGTGACTGTACATATTTTTCGTATGTGTGCCGATCAGCTTGGAGTTTTCGATTGGCGCCGAGAAAATTGGTCCCACAATCACTATAAATATTTTTACAAACTCCTCTGCGACCAATAAAACGTTTAAGGGACCCGATGAATGATTCTGCAGAAAGATCTCCAACTGGTTCTAAATGTATCGCCTTGGTGACGAGACAAATGAAAAGCGCTACATATAGATGGACAAACTCGTGGAGCTGGCAGATTTCCCATAAGTTGTTGTGCAGGTTTTGGATTGTAGCGATAACAGATTATACAGCGATGGATGGCCGTTCGAACTGCATTACGAGCATTTAAAATCCAGAAGCGTTTACGAATGTAAGCAATGTGGCTGCAACTCCACCGTGCAGAGTGCGCAAGTGTGATGCTATTACAATTAAATTAGAAAAATGATGTTTTTGTGGTAGGATATATGGGTACTTCTCTGCAATAGGTAGACGTGATTCGCGCAATCGCCCACCTAGTCGAATTACCCTTTCCTATTGATCAAAGAATGGATTAAGCGGGGCGATGGTACTTTTTTCTTGCAAAGCCTTATTGGCTGAAAGTACATCCCATTAGCGAGGGAAAGCACTTTGCTGAATTATCCGCAGGATGCTCGGTAGGCTATTGTCTAACTCATTCTCTGTCAATGCGTTGAAACGGCGCTCATGTCGTGAATGGCGGCAATTCAAGATGAACCGGTGGCAGTAGGCGATGACTCGCACAAGTTGTGCGTACGATGAATATTTTTCAATAACGTGGAGGATGTTTTCTTTCTCTGTACTACTGAAATTGACTTTGATTTGCTTTGCTTGACATTCCTCAGATTCAGATTTTCAGTAATATTGTAATTTGGCCATTCACTCGATGGTAAAAGCTCAGTCAAAATGGTCCGCGCCACCATAACTGATGTTGCGCTAGTTTCAGTGAACTTAGTCCTCGACTAGAACAATCAGCCGGATTATCTTCTGATGCAACGTATCGCCACTGACCTTGCTCCGAAACTTCCAAAATTTTATGGATACGATTAGATACGAAAATTTTCCAACGATTGGGATCTCCACGAATCCATCCCAAAACAATCATTGTATCCGTCCAAAAAAGTATGCGTGAATGATCGATAGGCAGGCGCAGGTGTTTCTGCAAAAACTGAACAAGCTTTGCTGCAAGAAGCGCTCCACATAACTCCGCTCGTGGGATAGTAATTTTCGGTAGTAGACTGGTGCACCATTTTCCGCCTTCATCGCGCACTTGTAGATAGGCTGTTGCTGAATATGCAAGTGTAGACGCGTCGCAGAACACGTGCAGCTCCTTAGCCGGATTAGTGGCACCAGTATCCAACCAGCGTGGAAGACGTATTTGGGAGATATTAGGTAGCTCCTCTATAAACCGCTTCCAAGGAGTTTGTATACCGTCTGGCACTGGTGTATCCCAGCCAAGTTTCAATGACCATAATTGGTGCATGATGATTTTCGCTGTTACTATTACCGGATTAAGCCAGCCGAGCGGATCGAATAAACGTGCTGTAGTTGACAAAATGCTTCGTTTTGTGGCGGCACCACTTGGAATTTTAAAATTTAGATTGAATTCGAAATTGTCAGTCGCTGGGTTCCATGATAGGCCCAACGTTTTTATGGTTTCCTTTGCGTTGAGGTGCAACACGCCATGTGTTGCTTTGTGTTCTGTTGGAACGTTTTCGAGCAGCTTCGGATTGTTGGCCGCCCATTTGCGAAGTTGAAATGTACCGCTATGTAGCATGGCTAGTATTTGGCGTTGCAGTTCCTGCGCCCTTTCAATAGATTCTCCCCCCGATAAAATATCGTCTACATACATCTCATATTTTATCACATCCACCGCTAAGGGATACTTTATTCCTTCATCGTTAGCTAGCTGATGCATTGTGCGTATAGCTGTAAATGGGGCGGAGCTCGTACCGAACATCACCGTAGAACAAAAATATTCTTTAATATCCTCTGTCGGATCATTGCGCCACAATATTCTCTGGTATTGTGCGTCGTCTTCATCAACGTCAATGCGGCGATACATTTTCTCAATGTCCGCAGTAAATACATATTTTACAAAGCGCCAATTGATTAAGACTGCTGATAAGTCCCTCTGAAGAGCAGTGCCAGTTGCGAGCATATCATTTAATGAATTTCCATTTGCAGTTTTTGCCGAAGCGTCGAACACGACACGAACACTAGTTGTAGATGACGACTCCTTTATGACAGGATGATGTGGTAGATAGCAAAAAGTATAGGATTCGGTGCACGCTGATGATGAGATTCGGATGAGGTGAAAAGTTGCATTTGGCCCAGCTCTAAATATTCGTCGATGGGGTCTTGGTAGCTTCACTTCAGTTCGGAGTCCCTTGTTAGCCTTCGTTCTAGATTTAAAAATCGTTTGAAAGCAATGTCTCTAGAGGCACCAATGACAATGTCTGGTTGAAGTTGTGATAACAATGGCAAACGGACAACATATTTTCCATTATCCAGACGGCGATGTGTGTTGCGATAATACTCTTCACACCATTGGTATTCGTTGCTCAGAACATGTTCACTGTGTAACTCTTCGATTTGCCAAAATTTGGTTAGCAGCTGGTCAATCTCGACCTGAGTGGTTAACGATGAAACTGTGATAACTGGTGATCTTGATGCGGAGAATTTGCCAGATATAATATAACCAAAAACGTTTTTTTTAGCTATGGGATTACCATTCTCCACACGATGCGTGTCGCTCAGAATGCAATCGTCGTAAACGTCATTACCAAGTAAAATCTCGATACTATGAGGACGATGATATGTCGGATCAGTTAGATCCAGGCCTTTCAAATGCGACCACGTCGTAAACGGAAGTTGTTTATCGGGCATGGTCCCACTTATTCTAGGTAGGTCATGACAGTGTATTTAGTTCGATGATCATAACGAGAACCATCGGACATAAGAACATAGTCCTTCTGCTACCTTTGTTTCTGATATACCTTGGATGTTAACCCAAGTTTTCTTTCGTGATAACCGCAACTGCTGGACAGCTTGCTCAGTAATGAACGACGCCTGAGATCCTTGATCCAAAAAAGCTCTGAAGTGATATGGTTGACCCTCTTTGTCCTCGACGGTCACCACAGCCGTTGGTAGTAGCACATCAAAATTATAGTTGGTTGACGTTGAGTTTCTTGGCACGGTGGCTGTAGCCACCTCGCCGGCGCCTAAATCGCCTTTCATAATATTTAAATGCATAGAAGTAGGGGCTGATTTCTCAGTAGACTCATCTGTATGAATGAGGGTGTGATGCCTGGCACCAC